ATGTAAACTACTATCCCATTGCTAGCAATGTATCCTGTCAGGTCGATCTCAACGTGGACCCCCCTGGAAATCATCATGCTGAATTCTAGGTGAATTTGTCACGATGGGCTAACTGATCTACCTTTTAATCCTACCTCACTGGTGCCCCGCTAGCGTATACCATTAGCACAGGCGGAATTACGATTCGTGTATTACTCATTAAAAACAAATCTTATAGTACTTTTCGTTTATCTGTCTGACCCTCTGTTATAGAAATATATACTATATACTATATAATCGATGGCTGATGTATGATTAAGTAATTGACATACATACATCAGCTATCGATTTTATATTTTGTTCACTCACATAAAAGAAATAAAAGATGTTTTATTTGCTTTGTGAAAGGATCCAATAGAGATTTTGAAATTGGACTTACCATCCAGAGTCCAATTAGGGTACCATATGAAAGAGGTTTATTCGAACATCATAAAACTATTTTTTATTTAGTCTTAAGCCGCTCAGTGTTCTATTTATATAAGACTATGTATAAATGTATTTTAAAAACCATTCTTTCACTTATCTTAAAAGTTTATGAAGCAACTATACCCAATAATATTATATATATAGAAAGTTTTAATACATAACAATATTTCTATCTACTACCGTTTTTGAAAATATATCAAATAGCTTTGAAGAACAGACTTTGTTATACGGTCCGGTTTTTAATCATAATTATGGCCCAAAATAAGGAATTCCAAATTATAATATAATTAATAATTTTCATATGGAATTTATTTCATATAATAAATCAATAAACACGTTTGTTGACTTTGGTGGTGTAGCGGTTTAATATAGCGCTTCACCTTCAGACGGTTACGAGCAGGATCCTCGCATAATACATTTGTATTCATGAGTATATATGTTTCTATTGGTTCCGGTATTTTCTATATACAATATAATACGTAGATATGTAGTAAAAATATTTATATATTTCTATCCAGTTACCTATAATACAAATTCTGCTTGCTTTTGGACTAGACGGTGCTGTATATTTATTATTATTTTATGAGTAAATAATTAACACTGGCGTTATAATTAGGAATAATAGTGTACATGTAGAAACGCTGAATAAACTGTTTGTATAATATTTAGTAATTAACCTGTACATAAATACAACTACTTTTCAAATGACACGTAATAGTTATTGTTGATAAAATATTTTATTCTAATCACAAATTTTTACTATCTCTACGACATGACTAATTATAATAAACATTTCACTATAATAATGTTAAAATTAATATTTTTAATACATAAAGTCGTTGTACACACGTCTACATATTTTAATAAAACTATCTAATCTTGTACGCATGAGGCGTATGAGTTTACGCACTTGATTGGCTTTTATTGTATATTGTCACTATATATGTATTTGCATAGACAGCAACCTTGATGTAAAAATTTTTAATAACGATAATGCGAAGATCAAAGATATTTAAAAAAGAATCTGGCTGTGTACTCTGGCATATAAACAATTTAAGATGACCTTCTTGCTAAGGATCGTAGCGTCACAATTTCCTCTCAAATTTTATTTTTATCATTACCGAAGTAACGGATAGGTAGGTATATAAGTTATGAGAAAACATTATTAATTATATTAAAATATGTGTAGAATGTGTTAATAGCAGTATTAGTAGTAGCAATGTTGGTAGTAATAAAAGTCTGAATGTGTTTGTAAAAAAAATCTGGTAAAATTTCCATCACTCGATTGCACGCTTTCGCCAAAAGCAATAAAAGATTTTTGGCTAACTTCCTAATGATAAACTGCTAGCTGGGACACAAAATTTTTATAGATCCGTATAAAAATGTTACTAAAGTTAACCATAACCTACCGAATGGATGGGTAAAACCTTGGTAGATCTTCTACCAAGATAATTGCCCATCCATTCGGTTGATTGCCACTACGTTATATTTTAGCAAATACTAATTTTGCATTAAAATTTTAAATAGATTTAGATATTATTGGTTCACATACATTACAATAAAAATAATAGTTTTATTTTATTGGGAGACTAAAAGGAGTACTTATTCAAAAATTTAAAAAGGTCTAGGTACTATTTAGTCCTTTTAAAAATAGTTTTAACTTTTTGCAGTTTAGTTTTCGAGTTGTCATAAAAATACAAAAAAAAAAGATACCCGTTTGTACCTTATTTCTTTGCAAAGAGAAAAATTAAAAAAGGTATCATGTAAATATTACAAAAATAAAAATTGGAATCTGAGTTTAACTCACATTTGACCGATTTTATTTACCAAAAAATTAATAAAATAAATAAATGTATAAAACTCCGCTGATGACCTTTGGGATATTTTGGGATGATAATCCCTAATGGGGTAATCAGAGGAAATTTATACGTGATTATGAATATCCCTTTTACTTATAAATACTTAATTATATAAAATAAATATATTCTGTTTAACAATTAAAAGTCCCTAAAATATAAATTGTTTTTATCTCATTTTTCGGAAGAAAAATCCATAGCTTTCATAATAGGTAGGACTTAGAAACAAAAAAAATCACTATGAACAGAAAAATATATAGCTTGTGAAAGAAAATATGGACGTGCTACTAAATGTCTGATGTAAACGAATATAAAGATAAATTAAAAGTGACGTAAAACATAGTAGTGGTTGTCAGTAATACTGTTTGCTATTTAGTCATCTTTTTAAACTTTTAAGCCACATAAAAAGTATATATATTTTTTATGTGGCCGTAACAGATTATATATATTACAGATAATGTTTTTAATAAACACAATTTATCCTACTTGTACTTCGACTTTTAGTGCTTTACAAACATATAAAAATAGTGCCGGCTGTATGACAATAAAACCAATCAGATCGAGTCAGAGTACTCGAAGTACTCGTAAGTCATATGTATGCAGATAAGTTTAAAATTTGGTAATGACAATGTATTGAGCATGCAGACTTGAAGATAAATGCAAACTATACATTAATAGTTAAATTTATAACACGACGTACTGCATTAAGAACTAGGTTTCTTATAAATTTTAAAACATTTTAGTTTTAACAATTATGTCGTTTTTTTAAACGTGGGATATTTTAAGTACAAATTTGTTTATTGTGTTGTCAAATAGATTAAGTTGCTGAAAAATAGCGCTCACGCACAGAAGGACGAATAGGCGGAGTCGCATTTTCTTTTTTTTTTGTTTTATATTTATACAGTAACTAAAAATGATAAACTTGACGGGAATGGTTGTATACAATACGCATGATTTGTTACTACGTGTCACTCTGTGTATAGCATGTTAAAAATTCATGAGCCATCACGACAACAGCAAACAGCTCAAGAGTTCGTATTTACCTCTGGGTAGAGGATGTTTAGCGATATACACGTGAATGTTTTTGGTACGTATTAATATTTAAAAAAGGAAACAGGCACTAAAATAAAGTATTTATAGGTACTTAAAACATATTCATTTGATATCGTTTTGAGTTATAGTTCGAAGCTATTTTGTATCGGGTTAATTTGTGTAGAACTTAGAAAATTTAATTAGGCAAGATGCTTAATTTACGTTTGGCAAGTGCGAATTCACTAAGGTTCATTGATCACATGCTACTAACTAGTAGACAGAATTATAATAACCAATAATTATACGTACAAAAACTTATTTCGATTTTTACAATTTCATTCAATAACTTGTATACAAACATAAAAAAATATTATTAGTCGAGTTAGCATTAAGAATAAGCCATGGACCAAAGCAATTCGTATTATAAAATAAAGTTTATTATTAAATTTTGGATCATCTATGATGGACTCTAAAGACAGATTTCTCAATATATATAGTAAGTTAAACCGTAATTTAAGAGTTTTTTAATGGATGATAATGGAATGGTAACTTTGCCTGTGCTATTGTAATAGTATACGCTGGCGGGTACCAGTGAGGAATGATAAGTGAGAATGATTGGTATTTTCATCCATTCAGCCCATCATAATGAATTTACCTGAAATTCAGCACGATGGTTTCTAGGGAGGACCACGTGGAGGTTAACCTGGTTGCATATTGTTAGCAATGGGACTGGTAGTCCGTATTACTAACAATTCCTTTCCCCTCTCCTTTATAATCACTTACGTGATAAAACGAAAAATGATTTATTTTTTAACTCTTTTGCCTCTTTCGATTTTATAAATATTATTTCAAAGTAATAAATATTTTTTAAAATAACTATATTTTGGTGCAATGAAACGCGTATTTGATTAATAAGAAAAATATATGAATGTATTTTTATTTGTTTATTTTATATTTTTTTTATCTGTGGAAACTGTTCATTTACAGTCTATATCCGATACTAGGAAGTCCTTTGTTAGTTCGGTTTTTATAGATATTTATCCTATAGTATCCTATCCAGGTTTGGTCACAGTTTTAACAGTTTTCTTTTTGTAATAATACTGTATCAGTCTTACTACAAAAATAATTAAAAACACTGTTTAACTAATCAGAGTTTAACAACAGATTTTTATTTAAACTCTATTTAAGTAATTAAATGTTGTAATGTAAAATGTTGTTGTTGTGTATTTGTAAGTTTATGCACCAAATACGTTTAGACATATTTATTATAAAAGCGTGTCTAACATGCGTTTATCTCTACACAAAAGAAACTATATGGTATTAAAAATAAAATGTGTTTAGAGTAATAAATTTTATTACAATAATTTTATTTTGGAACGTATTACAAATAAACATTATAACGCTGACTAAATAATGTGTTCACTTAGACAGTGTTCTGTTATACACTGTTTTAATGTAGTTTTTTTTTTAGTAAATATGTACAAGTTTAATGTAATCCAATATTTTTTATTATTTAATGCCATTATATACATAATATTTATATAGATATGTATCGACTACACAATGCAATAAGTAAAGATTTGAGTACGAGTACAATAAATAATTGTGTATACACAAAAAAAAAATATTCTATATAAAATGACTTACTTGAAGCAATCCGTAACGGAGTTCAATGTCCAAAAAGTAGTACTCTTTCGCATACGGCGGTCTCTGGGTGGGAGCGTTGAACTGCTGTTGATGAGAGCTCGGTGGCCCGAGGGATATCGGGTGAGGCATTACTGGAGGCTGCGCTCCCGGTATCACTATTGATTCCTGCATATATTTATTAACATTTAATGTATTAGTTCGAATTGAATGCTAAGATTTTTTAAATATTTCTCTGACACTGTAAGGCGTCATTTCTCAACCGGGGGGTTTGCGAATCATAAGAAGGGGGGGGGGGATGCGTTTGTTATTAAGGGGGATCTTGTTATAAAATAATAAGACCTCGAAAGATTCATTTAACGCAGCTATGTGCGATTTTACTAATCCAACTACTAATTATTCGACTAAGCGATTCATTCGGATGAAATTAGTCGAATGATTTGATTAAGTTCATTCACTATATGCTTCTAGTAATACCTAAAATAAGTCATTAGCAGTTGTTCACGTACGAGTCAACCCGATTGCTGGATTGTCCTTTTTTGTTAAGGTAGTGGTGTGGTAGTAGCAGACACAGGGAAAGCACTAATTATTAATTAAAATATTATTTAAATTATATAGTGATAGCGTTGCAAAAGATTTTACGTACATGGTTGAGAAACAATGCTTTAGGGTGAAATAGAAATCGTTTAGTATTCGTGAAGGGAGTATTCTATTAGCAAAACTAAACATTTATGCCAAAAAATATGAACCGCAGAATGACAAAAAAAGGAGATTACCATAGCTAACAAGGCGCATTTAGCTGTTTATTTAATATTGAACACACATTTATTTTTTCGAATTTTCTGTTTATGAAATTTCACTATCGAAATGTTTTATTGAATAAGTAGATTTTTACGAAATACTAAGGATTTCATTTCGCTATACTTATATAATAATTATTGTATGGATATAATAATTATAATAATTTCCGTGCGGTCCCGGCATAGATTAGGGTACCCCTTATTTTTCAGTGGGTGTCGTAAAAGGCGACTAAGGGAGGGCGAGGGATGGGCAGCAGCGTCTCTCTAAAAACATCTTTAAAAGCCTTACTGTGGTTGCCAATCCATCTGTCAAGCGTGATAGCTACTGTCAAAAATCTCCCCTATGGGGAGGCTTATGTTCAGCAGTGGACAGTCAAAAGCTGATATGATGATGATGATAATATAATAACTATCCATATTTACAATCCTTCATTTTATCCTTTTCATTTTCCTATTATTTGGCTATGGCATTGTTAGGCACATGTTATGGATTGTAATTCTATTTATCACAAAGATTAATAATTCCTCACTTACGTAGTATAATCCTCTATCTAAATAAAAAAAAAAAAAAACAGTATAATAAATCATACAATAAAATGGAAACCCTCAGCTGACACATGAGCGTATTTAAAATTTTCCAGAGGGCCACCTGGCCCCTTAAAAAAAGCGAATACATACTCCAACTTCGTCTGAATTCTGGTGCATTAGATAATTCAGGGTGGGTATGGGCCAGCCAGCCCCCTCGCCCTCTAACTACGCTTATGAACAGATATAAAGTGAGGTAATTTCCCAAAGGGAACTAAAAAGCAAAAAGGACAATGTTACAATAATTAATTAATTATTTTTAGATATAACAGATCAATGAACTGTTTATTAATACTAATATCCATGTACAAATAGTTATATATAGATACTGGATGTTATTAACAAAATTGATATATACATATATAATTACCCATAGAGAAATGCACTAAGAGAGAACGTATATTTTATGATACATATATGAATAACATTTCTCAAGTGTAATACAGATCTGATGAAAGTAATTTATCAATCATGAATTATGACGTTTATACATTTCATACATAGGTACTTTATGAATATATAATTACGATTATGCGCAGTAAATTTTAAGAAAAGGTAGCGATAGGTAGCAAAATATGGGTTGGTTTGAATAAGTAGTATGAAGCAATAAACTTAATAATTGAGACTTTTTAAGGTTGATATAAAATGCCGTTAGAATTTAATTTTGTATATTGGTTACAGAGAATTAAGGGAATTGATTACGTGTCAGTTACTTTATTTATAAGAGTAAAAAAAAAAAAATTGATTTCGAAGAGGGGCAAGTAATTTCAAATTCAAGGTAATCTTTGTAAATTGACACCAAATACATTTCTTAGCAAAAAAAAAATACAGTCAGTATGACGTAATGTAATTTTATAATTCCTCGTTAAAAATGAAAAACCTTGTTAGAGTTAATAGAATTTTTTATGTTAAAATAACTGTTTAAATAATCACAATTATATATAATGCTGTTATAAAACTATTAAAAAACGCTCAATATGCTCGTACATGAATATAAGCTAAGTATTGTTTTTTTTTCACAACGTGAATGTCATCCTTTTTTTTTAAGTTTTTTTTTCACACAATCACAACAAAGAGGGTTGACGTCAGGCAGGCGGCCGGTCGTAAAACTAAAAACCAAATCTTTTTGTAATATGGATAAAATCATATTACACCGACCCCAAACGATTGGGATAAGGGTAGGAAGATGATGAATCACAACAATTGTCTTAAATTTCCTAATTTGTAAGTTTCAATATATATTCCGAAACTTTTATATATAATTAGTACCTAAGTAATGTTTATTTAATTTCATGAACAAATAGGTATAATTTAGAATAGGTGGGAGCGAAGAGATAGTTACGAGTAGTAATGAAGGCTAGCTGTCCCATTGCTAGCAACCTAGCAATATACCCTGTCAGGTCGATCTCCATGCGGCTCCCTTGAAAACCATCGTGGTGTATTCATCACAATGAACTGACTGGTCTGGTTTTATCTTCACCTATCATCCTTCACTGGTGCCCCGCCGGCTTATTTCGATAGTACAGACAGAGTTACTATTCCATTTTAACCCATTAAAAAAAGCTCGAAGAATTATCATGTACCTGTTCTTTTATAAAGGGGTTTATGAAGTACTTATTCAAAGAAATTATTTCTTTTTTAGATTTTCGTACATAATTTTATTTATAGAAATAAGTAGGTATCACATTGTATTTATCTGACAGCAGTATACAATAGGATCGACAGTCATTATTTTATTTTTATCGGAAAGAGATCCAACTCTTAGAATATTTTTTTTTTAAGTACCACCTAGAATGATTTGTAAACTATGCTATAACTTTTAAAATGAAAAATTCTACCTAATATTATAAATACGAAAGCGAGTTTGTTTGTTATCTTAGAGCGTCTTAACGGCTTAACCAATCACTATGAAAGTTGATATACATGTACTATACGAGATGGAGAAGCATGGAGGCTGCTTTTAATCCTGGTTAGTAGATATATCACGCAGATGAATTCGCTAGCGTTTATCGCTAGTATTTTAATAAAAATAAATATATATTCCCCGTTTGAGTTAGTAAACATTGATTTAATAACAGAATTACAAGTATAAAATTAGGAATTTAACTAAAAAATATACTTTATGAATATTAAATACTGTTGTGAAAAATCTAAAACAATTACAGATTATAAAAGTACATGTAAATAATACTGGTAAAATAAAATAATGTTTTTAACACAGTTTTTGGTAAATTATCAAAAGCTTCCAAAAACAAACTAGTTACGCGGTCCAGATTTTAACAATAATTACGGCTCATATCTTTTTCATATAAAAATATAATAAGGTTCATTGTATCTCATACTTATATATAGAACTCTCGTGTTGTAAGTTTAACTGATCTGACTGATTTATATTGGATTTCTATTGGATTTAATTTTAATTATTATTGAACTAAAAATCCTCCTTTTTGAACTCATTGTTAACAATTCATATACTTTTAGAAATTACAAAAAAATATACTAAGTACAAACTTTTAGAAATTACAGTTTCTAAAGTCTGTTACTTCGTAGAAATAAGTTAATTCAGTTTTGTTTGCTTATAGAACAGTATTAAACATATTTTGTACATCAATTTTAAATTTTATAGTACTTTCTATAGAGAATATAGCCTTCTAGCAGTAAAGTGAAACCTAAACAAGGTGTTAAGGACAATAAATGGTTGGACGAAATAGCAACAACGTGTAAAATCAGCAATATCGTTTTATTACGCCATTAAAGGATTAAGGAGGCTGGTGTTGCCGCTCGTCAAAAAAATAATTACGAATTTTATTGCTTTATAGCACTGTAATACCACAAAAGAGGTTCGTTATAAAATTGATAGGATACAAAACAATTCGTAAAGTAGAAAACGTTTTGCGCAGTATGAAATATTAAAATCTCTGATGACGCTTGAAACGAAATGTTGTTTTGGTTTTATTTTACAATACCAATCAAAGCAGGGCATGGGTTTCTTCCTGTGAAACAAAGATTTTAGCCCTCTGTTACTACGACGACTATGTGGTTTGACATAGTGATTTATTAAATTTTTTTCTTTTTTTGTCTTGCGTTTTATTTTTTTAGTTGGTTCTTATAAATATCCTAGAAATGAATTCTTTGAACTTTGACTCAATTTATATTTTTTACAGTTACCAGATGAACATAAAACTATATATTTGTTCTCTTTATATAGTTTATATATGTTGGTCTCTTTTTATACTTATATATGTGTAACCATTATTTTATGTTACTATAATTTTTTATGTTACGTTTATTAAGTTTACGTATACATCTGTTACTATTGTTACCTATCTTAATAATAAACTATCGCGTTAGTGATTTACACTTCATACCAAAGGTTGACTGAAAGAGAATGCTACTAGCATTAGGCCCACCTTTTGTCCCGTATTTCTTTTTGAACAATAAAGTTTTTTAAAAAAAAAACAAAATCTTTATCGATTGGTTCCGTACAAATTTTGTCTATATTCCAAATATTATATCTATATTATAAAAGTCTAAATGTAAAATACAACATACGATGAAGAACTTTATAAGTTATTATTCTGTGATGAATATGTAGGAGAAGAAAAGAAAATATTATGAACATAATACGTACGTGAAAGTTTTGCGCAACTTATGAATAAAGCAAGTTACAATGAAAATAATACATTTACTGTTTTTCTAAGTAGTTTACATTTTAAACATTTTTGCATTCGATCGAAGCATTTTTTTAAACAAGAGGACGTTTCAATGTGGGCATGTATTTCACGTGCAATCGAAAAAGCGGTAACAGCTTTCAATCATGAAAGCTGTTACCGCTTTTTCGATGCTAGTAAACGTGAAACCTCTCATTAAATCTTTGATTTTCAGATAAATAAAAAAGATCGTAGAGTAAGATCTGGCCTAAGAAAAATCATTTTAATGCTCTAAAAACTTTTTTGTATTAGTTCCATTTTGATTTCACTCGAATAACTTAGATATGTGATAAAAATTATTAATAATTTTGTTTTTAAATAACTAATAAGGATTTATATAAAAAAATATTTGAAATTAAACACCTTGTAATAAACTATTTTTGATTATTCATAAAAAATCGTCATATTTAATAATCCCCTGTTTATTAAAAAGCCTTGTTTAAAAAATTTATTGAAGTAAATATGTAATAAATATTTCACTGGCATCTATTTCCTTCGTACGAAGTAACTAACTTCCGAGCTTACAGCTATGCAAATACGCAGACTGAACTAGGCAAACATGTTACACTGTTTTGAATCTAAACTGTTGCAAATAATGTTGTCTACCTTCCTAATACCTATGTAACATAAATCTCGTTTATGTTTCTAAACATTAAATAAACTCTTTTTAATTCGATCTAGGTGTTTTGGGCTGTCTTAGATAGACAGCTTGGCACAAGAAGAAGTCTGTATTCTCCTAACACTACGTGTATTCCAAATTTCATCAATATTGGTTGAGGTATTAAGTTGCCAAGTATTAATAAACACAATTTAGAATTTTATATTATAAGTGAGGTTTATAATTCTCAGTATATATCGTATCTAGTAATATTTAATTATTTAAAATTCCAACAGAAGTAATTAAATTACAATTTAGGATATTGCTGTTTGAAAATGCCACATAGGAAATAGCTAATGCAGTATAAATACATGAGTTAAAATGAGCACAGCTTTCTGGGAAAATCAAAATGTAGTGATTTCGATTCACCTTAATTTAAATTAGATAGAGTATATAGATATAGTTGAACTTTATTTGGAACGATATATACATTCGTACACAGTTTCTGGTTTCGTTTGCGTGACTCATTGCTTGACTGGGATAAAAAGATAGAATGCCAGGAGATAACAAATAAACTTCACATTTATAATATTAAGTAAGGAATATTTATAGATATTTTATATTTAATTAATTTTATTATAATGAATTATTATTATTGTCCTCTATTTAAAAGGCCAGTTATTCTAAAGATCATAATATTTTATTGTCATTAAATTATTTATAATGTTATATATGTATAAAGAGCCCTTTTTTTTAAACATTGCTGTTTTTATTAGTTACTAATTCTAGTAATAATTCTCTTAATAGTATCTAATAATACATTAGTAACTAAAAAATAGATATTTTAACTTTATAAGTGTTAAATTTATCAATATACATGTCAGATAAATTTTCGAGTAGTTTATTACACATCTGTGAAATAGGCTTATATTCTTATTGATGAATGTATACTGGCGCTCAGCTTTGTTATAATCTAATTTGCATATTATTTGGTATTCGAGTACTTGTATTATTGTACCTATACATTTGGTAATATTAATATTATTGTTGTTGTCTTTCGGGTTGGAGGACGCGAAATGAACTTTACTATAACACAAGATCTTATGTCACGAGGGTTGATAAGGCGCGAGTGACACCCTTGGTATGGCAAGGGTCTATAAGTTGCGGTAACCACTTTCCATTAGATGGGCGGTATACTGCCGAGCTTTCACCATTTTCATCATATAAACAACATTACCAAAGATTATTATTTCGAAATGGTCCAGACGTAGAGGGTGACATCGAAATTATTAGTCGTACGTAAGTACAACTGAGAAAATATCCTTGCTATAGATATTAGGATACAAATAAGGTCAGATATTTTGTGATTAATAAAATTGAAAAAGTAGAGTAAGTGTTTATATGGGAGAAAAATCATTCTCGTTACATTTATTCTGTATCTGAATATTAACAATTTATATATTAAATGTACTCTTGTAGACTGCTTTAAGCCGAGCCACCACTGATTTTTAAGAACACATGTAAGATTTGTCACAAGATGAGTTGAGGTCATTCTATACTAATTTTTATAATATTTGGTCATTTAACTGGCTTTTATTTCTCAGAGATTTATTCGACTTTTCTGCTGACATCTTAGTTTCGGCTTGTATCATTTGAATCTATGAATATTGCTCTCTATAGTTTTTTTTATACAACTTAAAATGGCAAACAAGCTGACGGCCCACCTGATGGAAAATGGTAACCGTCGCCTATAGACATGAGCAGTGCCATGGACATAACAGAGTATACTGTTTCAGATGTTATTCCTCTGTACTGTGTAAATTCACGCCATATCCCACCCTTCAAACCGAAACACAGTCATGCAAACACAACTGCTTTACGGTAGAAACATGAGTTCACTAAAGAACTTGGAGTTTCCCCATTTATGTATATTTAAGTAATAATACCATTCGTGGAAAAGCCGCACCTCTCACAATCCCAGATCAAAACATGGGAGCCAACGTGTAAATGTAAAATATGCAAATTATAGACTGTATCATAATTAAAGTAGATATAATAATAAATCGCTACTTACATGCCATGCTAATATGTTGTGCAGACTTGCAAGAACTGGTTCGCATGCAAACGCTATGGTGTTGTGACCTTCTTCTATCGAGTGAATTATTTGTAACATCTTTGGATGTCGCATCTTCTCCAATAATGTTACACATCCTCGGATACGATCCAACATGGTTTCTTTACGTTTCACTTTGAACACTTTCTCTGCGATGCGTTTGTCAAATATGAACACGGAGCATTCCTGAAAAGAAAAAATACTTTGAATAAGTTGTTTCTCTTATTTAAAATTAAAGTAAGATTTTCTGAGTGAGACTTTCCAAGTAAGATTTATGTATGCCAATTTTCACTTTTTAATTAATTATGACTAAGTCACTTATAATTGAAAGTTCATTAAAAGGATTCGTTGAAATGACTACGATACTCCTAAACATGTTCTTGTTTATCATTTTAATGCTATAAAAATATTATAAAGGATAATAAGGTTATCAGACCCACTTGAAATAAATTGTTAGAAAATTGTACGTATCATCTGTACTTTTTAATTACTAGTTATAATTATTAGTTTTATCGGTCTACACAATAAAGGACCGACTTGTAATAATAACCGTTGTTCTAGTTTGTTTTTCTTTCACTTACTCTGAAACCTACTTATTTTTCACTAAATTAATATGGAACAAAATAGGTTCAAATATATAAAGTAACTTACGTGAAAATTAGTTGAATTTTTTTATTACTTAATGCAATAATAAGTACATAAAGTGAATGACCAGATCAAGAAATTTCTAATGTAACATTAGGTATTCACATTGTATTTCGAGTAAGCGGCGGAACGTGTAACTCAGGTACTTGAAAACAATTTATTGGAAATCTATTTTTATTCGGAGGCGCAACCTTGTACGTAACGGAAACTGCTTAGAAAATGATCAGATTTTCTAATGGGTATGATAGTTTAAATAATGATGTTAATGTTATAAAGTGGATGTTATTTGCAGCCTTAAGCATAATAAACACAGCGCGTGTGAATATATTTAAACATTTAGAATTTTTATGCATGTGTTAGATATTTATTTTAAATTATATTAATTTTATTAAACATATTGTGTTAAAATGTGTATTAATAAAAATCAGACTAACTACTTTAAATATAATAAAACGTTAAAATTGTTATTATTCCAAATTTGGTAATAAATTATTCTTGTAATATACATTACAACACTAATTTATATTTTAATTAATTTTATAGTTATTTATTATCATGATACTTGAATGAAAAGTAATGAAATTGTAAGAACACGTGGTTTTGCTGACTTGTTCACTCGAATTCGGCCTTATAGATATAAAAGATTGTTATTTGGGTGGGGAGGCACTTCTTGTCCAACCGTTGAACAGAGCGGAGCTCGCTAACGTATCAAGAGTGAACAAGTATAGTAAACTACGTGGTCATGATATAAAATATATCACAACTATTGTTGATGGAAGTCCTAAAGAAGCTATGGTTAAATAAGTGTTAATGGATTAACAGAAGTTGGGTATTTATGTTATATTATTTATTATATTTCATATACGAAGTAAAATAAGTGAATATATGATTTAATAGTATGTTATCTAAATTAAATGAACTGTGAGAACTTGTGCTTCATTTCTATTTATTACCAAGAGGTTTACAACCTTTATATTGCTAAAGAATATATCATATACTTGTAAAGTTAGTATTACGTAGTACCCCACATATTATATTATAATTATATAAAAATACCCTTTTTGAGATATGCTTCTATTTATTGTTGAGAACAAGACATGCTTACTGATAAATAGTATGTTTCGATAATCTAATTTTAAGTTGTCTATTATAAATTAGTTATATATTGTAATTAGTATTATAAATTAATTAAACTCTGTTTGCTAATCCGCCTGCTAAGCGTGGTAACTATTGACAAAACCCCCTTCATGGTGGAAACTTATGTCCAGCAGTGGATATCTGTCCACTGTCCACTATCCACGGCCGATACAATACAATGCAAATTATAAATTAGTATTTATAATTTACATTGTTCATTTCTTCAATTCACCGCAGGTTCAGTTCGACGTTACCCGACAAAAGTGCTCTATTATAAAGCCATCAAATACATCGAGCACCACTATAAAAACACTATAACATATATAACAATAATTTATTTTCATCTCCTAATTTTTTGCAGTTCCTCTATAATTACAAACAGATAAAAAACTAATAACATGTACTCGTACTAAACTTTTATGTACTATAACTTTTATATCATCTTGTACGTTAATTTATTATTTCCACGTAAAATAGAGAAAAGCACTGTTATTAAATGATATTAGTAATTAAAAAGGCTGGTGCGTCGTTCTTTCAAAATCACTCGGGAAGTACTCGGCTTCATCTCGTCTTTCTATATTACTCGGCCGTCAATTGCTTTCGGTATTTCCGGTCCCTGCAATACGAGTATAGCATATATTACCTTTTACTGTAAGCAATGTCTGAAGGACGTGCTTTAACTTGAGAGTTATCGTGAGGGTGTACGATCAATAAATACATTATATCAGGAAAATAAGGTTTACCATATAATATTATCAGATAAATTTAGCTTGGCATTATATGAGAAATAGGAAACGAAGCATGAGAGTTTATTGAGTATCAAATACTACACTCTTGTTTGTTGAATTTATTAGCATGACCTAGAATCGAATTCGTATCTAACTTATTTATTGAGTATTGTCTGTAATACATAAAAAGTAACCAAGGTTTTAATAATATAATATTAAGCCAATATATTATAATTGTGTTTGAATACTTAATAAGATATATTTGAGATCAAAGTACATGGAAAATTGCATGACAGTGGCGGAAATACCGTAAAAATTGCGTTGTTATAAAAGCTTTTTCCTGATTTTGTTATGTTCACTTGTTTTGTAACCATAATTGTATTTTAGCAAAACAGGATGCAATAGCTACTTACCGATTATAAAAAAAATTACAACCATTTCCAATCAACTTTGAAACGTTCTGGTTTTACGGAAATAGCACGTCCGAGTTCATTGCTTTGAGAATGAATCCGATTTACATCGTTTCAATAAGTAATACCTACTCTAATTGAAAATCTTATGCCGTGGAGTGCTTCTTTATTGGTATATTTTTCATCTATAGCATATTATTTACATTTTGATGGGAATAACACTAATGGCCAATTCAAATATGAGGATCTCGAGAGTTATTTCAATACTAGCTTTTGACTGCGGTTTCGTCTGCGTCACACGCGGATAGTTGATTTTTCGCTTTTCTGTTTTAGTGTTATAAAATATAGCTCTTGCCCGTTACTTCGTGTGCATGAAGTTAGAATATAATACAAACCTTCAATTTATATCTTCCTTAAGATAAAAGTTTTAAAAATAAAAATTCATAATTTCAGATTTTCGGGCAATTTTCCTTCTCTATTTTATTCCTTCAGAGAGTAGACTCAGAGGTGAATATTTATAAATGATGGAACGTGTATTTTCTTTACAATTAATAAATTTACATACAAATTTTCATCTAAACTGATTCATCTCCTGTCTCACTCCCTTAGAAGTAGGATTTACAAAAGCTCATTTTTATGCAATGATAAAATGGACAGTCAAAAATTGATATAATGATATAAAACTTAAATTAAAGGAACTTAATTTTAGTAGTTTTCAAAATTCAACCTCTAAGTATATTAAAAAAAAGATAAAGAACAATGTCCTGACTGAGTCAACAATGCATAGCCGAAACCTTTGAAACTAGAAATAAGAATTTTTTTTAGCAATTTGGCCCTGAATGGTGTAAAAATAGGGCTGGAAAGTTTATTTTTTATACTTGAAATTAATTATATGCTTCTATAATATAAAAATAATGATCTTAATTTCCGAAAAATCATCCCTTAATTGTATTAAGTACGGAATGAAAGCAAACGTAAAAATTCTTTTTTATGTTAAAAATAAATTTATGAAAGTAATAACAATCTTGAAATCGGGGCAAAATACTTATTCGATTACGTTCTTAAATAAAACAAATATTTGATCGAAATTTTGAATGTAAATTAGGGGATAAAAATTAATATAGGAAATATTATTTTAAAGCTGATAATATAAAATCACTTAAATCAGTGTAAAGAAAATATAATTATGTATTTACCATACATACCAATTTTTATCCTCACACCAAAATTAAAATTTGGTATACAGATAGAGGAGCTCTATTCAAATTTACGAAGTTAGGTATATTTTAATCATATCGTTATATCAGCCGTGATTTGTCCACTGCTGAACATAGACCTCTCCTATAGACTGACATAAGGAACGGTCCTGGACCACCTTCATCCATTGACTACCTGTAATGCATTTGAGGTCGTTACTCCATCTAGTGGAGGGAGGGTCGTCCTACACTACTTTTATCCAGACATATTTGCTACTCGAGAACCTTTTTTCCCTATCGGTTGTCCATCCATTGTTCCCTATACCAGTTACGATTGACAACACTAAGCTCGAAGTTGTCGATGAGTAATGTACTTGGGATAAATTGTTCGAATAGGTAAGTCCAACTTCGACTGAGAGGTCAACCAATGAATCCAACTCGGCTAGGCATATATTTTTATCCAAAATATCTCCAAATTTGAAGACGAAGGTCTTTAACCAGTGCGTGTTGTCAGTGATGACTTACGGTTTCCAAACGTGGTCCTACACGTTTTCCCGTATGCAAAAGCTACAAGTTACTCAGCTAGTGAGAGGGCTATACTCGGAGTCTCTTTGTGTGATAGAATCCGAAACGAGGATATCCGCAAAAGAACCAAAATAACCGAAATAGCCCGAAAGATAAGCAAGCTGAAGTGGCAATGGGCTAGTCACATAGTTCGAAGAACCGACAACCGATGGAGAAGAAAGGTTCTTGAGTGGCGATCACGTACGGGTAAACACAGTGTAGGACAACCCCCCACTAGATGGAATGACGATCTGAAATGCGTTGCAAGGATTCGGTGGATGCAGGTGGCTCAGGATCGTTCTTTATGGCAGTCTGCGCGAGACTTATGTCCATTAGTGGACGGATAATGGCTGAAATGATGATGATAATATAACTATATAATCAGAATAAATGAATTTTAAATTGATTCTATAATATCGGAGTTAAAGCCGTTCGTTGGCACAGGAATTTGATAATGTTTGTAAAACAAACGGAAATACTATTTAAAAGTTCAAATTAGAAACATA